GATTTTCTATTCGATAGCTCTGTAACCAAACAAAATTGAAGACTAAAAAATATGGTTTCTCAGAGCAATGACAATTTTATAGTGAGTATATTATGTTTAATTTCATACTTTTCCAAGGAGTGATGGATAAAATATAGGAGACAAGATGCCTAGAGAAAATGTGTCAAGTGTGTCACACTATGGGAAATTTGGGATTTTTTTTTAATATTGCCTTGTATAATTAAGAACTTAAAACTTGTATAATATTAAAATATGGATTATTAGCTAAGATTTTATGCTATTCTAATTGATATAGCACAAACAAAAAATAGTTTAATAAAATTTTGAGTGTAAGACACTAAAACTTTGTGTCATGCGTAGAAAAGAATACCCATGGTGACAGGGTTAACCAATATCTACATACTTTCTATGATGAAAGGAATATTTATTTATTGTTTTCTAATCACTCTCACCTTTTTGCTGTTATATCTAGAACTGGGCAATTAAACCAATTACCTATAATTAGCAATTATACTTATTAGTGTCACAAAAATAACCAACTAATCAAAGTTAGTTTCCTATTATTAATTTCAATTATTCCAACAATCAATTAATTTAAATATTACCTTTAAAATTTGTTCATTATAATTTTCAATTAACTCACATTTGTTGAACTCAACCAATTAGTGTAACAACTAACAAATCAAATGTAAGGTGATTTTCATTTCAAGTATCGAAATACTTTTCTCTGTCTTATAGTTTTCATATTTCATTTGCATAATCTCTAGAACCTCCTAAAAGGATATAAAATGTTTAAGGTAAATGCTTATACTTTATATTTCATCGTCTTTACCATATCAATAATTCTAGCTATTATCGTCTACGTTCAATGCAATGAAATGATTAAATTAGAAAATAAAAAAAATGCACACCTTTTGATTTTCTGTAGAATATCTTTAAAGATGCTGTTTTGTTTATATTCATAATTTAGGGTCTTTCCCTTTTCACATATTGGTAATTTTTAATGGTTTTTTTTTCTGTTCTTGTCCTTTATCACTTATTATTCACCTCAACATAAGTCAATGGTACCCTCAAGGCATATTACAGTTTCTTTGGGAGACATGTGCAACCCTTTGGCAAAATTGTTGTTCAGTGCATAATATCGCAAGCCTTGAGAACAGACACAAAGTATGATGTATATTTAAAAAAAATGTTTAAACCTTTTAATTATGCATTTTAAAACATAACTAATATATAATTAACTAAAATATAATAGTAAGACCTAAATAATATTTAAAGTGTATCACTAACTATAACATATTTAGGTAAGAAACAACCATAAGTGCTATAATTGATCAAACAGCTAACCATACTGTAGTCAATTTCACGTACTCTGTGACGAAGACTAGGCACCAATTTCAAAATAACCATTGTTACTTTATACTGTAAAATAAACTCTTTCTAATGGTTCTACACATGTATGTAACGTCTACATTGCAGACTATAAAGCTCAAACAAATCTGTTGAAGGTGGGCGTGGCACCTGTCAAGGGTTGAAACAAATTTATTACATTTTCCAATGAAACATATTCACTCAAATAACTTTGAAATGAAAGAGTTAAAAGGTTATATAAGCTTCTCATCGTCTAGACATACTTCTACAGTACTGCCATTGTATTATTGAAGATAGTGTGTCAACTTAGAGAATTTTCATAGCTCGTAGGTCAGGTGACAATACATCTGAAGTTTTAAGTAGTTTCTTTAAAGGTTTATAAAGGTAATAAAGGACTTAAAACTTAGATAAAATAAAACTTTGAATCATGATACACATTATATTATTAAATTCATTCACATACATTTGATATTAAAGGTGTTTAATTAAGTTTTGAATGTAACACGGTAACTTGCACAGAAAAGCATTTAAAGGGGCTCCAGTTGCAAAAGGGTTAATCACAAAGTTACATATGGATTACCTATGATCTCCCTTCTCAAGTATAGAAACATGATTACTAGTGTTATAACATTTTTTGTTTGTTTTCCTTTACTTTGATGATGACCACCACAGACCAATTTTTTTCTTGCTTCGATGACATAATAAATTAGTTGAATGTTAATTAATGAGTCCATAATTAATCAATTAGCAAATTTTACTAAATGCCCGGTTATAATTATAATTCATATTGCCACATTTATCATTGCACTAATACAACCACACTTGTACATGTACATGGATGATTGGGAGGTAAATGATATGGCTGGAAACAGAAAACAGGTCTAAATACCACAAAGTTTAAATATGATGGCCAAAGCAGTTCAAGTGAGAAACAAACTTAAAAATTTCAAAATGGAAATTGTCAGATTAGGCATAAAAGGCACAAATTCTTTCCTTACAAACCTTTCAAACCAAAACATGGTTTAGAATTAAACAACATGTAATAAAAAAAAAAAACATTTAGAAACATTTTTTCTTGTCTACTAAATTGACAAATAACCAGTGTCATGTTAACAATGATGGTTACATTAAAACATACATGTACATGGTCTACAAGAACAAATAGTAACTTCAGTGTTGTTGTATACCCTTTTCAGCCTGATATGTCAGACAAAATGATAACAGAAGGTTTTGAAAAATTATTCCCTCTAAAGAACCTCCAAAGTAAAATTATAACTGAAATGTTGAGATTTTAAATTTTATTTTCATCTTTTCATGCAAGTTTTATTAACATGTTTGGATGAAATAATGAACAAAAATTAAGAATGCTACCCCTAATTTCCAATTTTTGCTCCCTGTTGTAATTATTATTCAGAAGGTTGAAACTGTTAAGTTCCCACCTGCTCAGATACAACTTGTTAGTGAACAAAGCTAAGCCACCAACCTAAGCACGTGTTTGAAGTTTACTTTTAGTTCAAAGTTTGAAAAACAATGAATTTTTTATGTTGGTAATGTCTAAAATTGTAAAATTCAACTATTTGCTCATTTTGTTTTACAATTTTAAAGTTTCTGAAAGGGAAAAAAAAAAAATACATAAA